GCCAAATATTACAGATATATTGATCTCTAGGGACTGTGTGATGACTACCCCCCGCACTGTATCTACAAAATAGCAAGGTGTCCCTGGAAAATGAATTAACATGATTGCCAACTCTACAAAGACGTCATCACTTTCCGCCGGATTCCAGCCACACCGATCACCGCCCTGAGTGGGTTCATCCAGCGGAATTAAGACCTTAAACTCGGGTTTCCTACTCTTAACTCCAATAACACGTTGCTAAAACACGATACACACACACGCTCATGAGGCTCGTAAGTCCGTTGACCTGGGGTTACCCCTGTCGGTGGCCGAAGTGCACACGAGGCATACGTTATTTGCGATTAAACTCACCCCTGGCTCATCTCGCCACGGCTGCTACAGTATTTTGATGAATCTATCACAGATCCAGTTGAATCCGCAAGGTAATCATGATCCCAGATCACCGAAGATCACTCTAGGACAAAATTCAGATATAGGAGGCGCGTTCCCGCTTCCAGGGAGTGGCACTAAGAATCATCCGAGTGGACGATCTACCGGCAGAAGCCGCGAAGTCGTTGTTCAATAGCCGAATCCGATAACAATCTCTGGCTGTCGGTGCCCAAGAGGGGCACACCCTATGCATCGATAAATCTTGTTCGCTTCATTTTGTGATACCAACCACTGCGTACCATATGGACCACGTCGACATGAAACATCTACCTTTTACAGATACGAAATTACTGCTGCGATATGGTCGATCCTGACCAAAGGGCTACATGCCGCGGGATTGCTACCGAGGGCTCCCGCGTGTGTAATAAGATACACGCCATTCCTCGTCGAGGCGCTGTCACTTGTTTCAAACGCGGCCACAATATACAATAAGTACATATATGCGCAAATGGCCCCTTGCGCGCTGTCTTTCCCAACAGAGGGGCAAAATAGTCGCAACCGAGTCTGGATTCGGGTACGAATAAAGAAACTTGGTCAAGGGTTATGAGATCAACCAACCTGTTGGGATCTCCGCCCAAGTCAAAGAGCGCTCAACTCTATCAATGGCAAGCACAAATCTAGAGGGAACATGCCGTGATGCGCGCTTTGCACTCGGCAATGCGAGGCGAGGAGGTGAAAAAAGGTATAGGGTGAACACAAACCTGGGCTATAGCCGGGAGCTCCGTAGAATTCTACGGTCGAAAAGTGCCAACCATTCACGTGTGTTATCATGTTTTGATACAGATGGGTTCTGCCGGCGGCAATGCTTCATATCGGGGGCTGAATCGAGGTTCGAGACAAATGAAGTGATTCCGCCAATGATCGACGTCCCTCTGAGACCCCTAAGTCTCAAACTTTCAAAGGAGCGCACTCAATATCCGTGGCGTCAATCTATTTTAGCTCGATTTTCCTAGGAAAAACGCACTAAAATAATTTTACAAAAGCCCTATTGAGGCTGGGAGGTAAAACGCATTGAGTATATATAATAAAATAACGCATAAAAGGGATCTCCAGTACAGGGGGTCGAACCCTGAGCCGTCGCGAATCAGCTTACGTAAGCATTACGTAAGCAAATTTGAAAGGCGACAATGTTAGCCGTTACACCATACTGGATTGGTAGAGATCCCAAGACATATTATCAATTCCCTGCATGCCTTCCCTTTGAAGTTTCGTATCTTAGGCTTACTCGAAAC